CAAAACTGTGAATATGGGAGTTTTTTGATGTGTAACTCAAAGAATAGAAATTGTACACAACTGTTGTTTTATATTTGTGAAAGACTGAAAAAAAATCAAAAATTACAAAACTCCTATTGTAGTTCTCTCTATAGCTTCAAATTCACTGTTACAATGCACAAATAGTTTTGTCCCAGAATTACCTTCATACAAACGGGTATGTGTTTCTTACATCCCAGAAGGGACATTGGAGGGGAGATTAGAGGAAATAAAAATTTAAAAAAGCAGCGCACCTGAAAAAATCTGATGAAAATGTTTTTATTTTTTTAGGTGCACGCATGATATTTTTTCTACAATGTCCTTTTAAAGTCCCTGTAATAGTCTCATGTTCTCTGGTGGTTGTAATGTTTAGTTTTGTTTGTTTTAAAACAATATTTAATTTTGGTCATAGAGTTTTTCATTTAGGTTGCATAAAGAATTCAAATAAAATACCTCAAATGGCTCAGGAGAAATGGCTTTGAATCAGATTGACTCATGTTTGCAGTCTTGTTGCGTTAATTTGTCCTGCGCAGATGTCTTTTTGCCCTCACAGTCATGGCAATATTATGTTGCGGAACTTGCAGCAGACAACTATAATCTGCGCCAACTTTTCTGTGCTGTATAGAAGTGCTCCTCCAGTGCAATCCAGACAACAATTTTGTGCCATAAAGTGATGGTGTGCTAGAATTATGAAGATGCAGGAACATGCAGTGTTAAAAGGAGTTTTAGCATAGGAGATATGGACATTTACTTGACCAAGACATTCACAAACGGAGCATCCCTCCCAGAGAACGCTGCTCCATGCATGGTTTTTATACCTATGATGTCAGCATGATCTCCAGCTGTTTGAAAACACCTCCTTCCTGGGAGCTCATCATTAGAATGGGTTAATGCTGTGCATTCTGGGATTCAGAGTTACTTACCAGTTCTTTTGTCCTCTCACTTATTTGTTGTCTGATGGCTGGGCCCAACATTTATCTTTTGTAATGAGTTGCATGTCTTTGAGGTTGGAGGGATCCTTGCCATCACCCCTTCATCCCTCCACATATTCTCTATCAGATTGAAGCTGGGACTCTGGCTAAACCCCTGAGTATAAATTAATCCCAATGAGGAATACATTTGGAGTTTGCATATGTCAGATTCCTCCCACTGTACAAAAATTATGTAAGTGGTCACTCTCAATTGCCCTCACCGGTGAGTATGTAATTGTTTGTCTTGTCCAGGACATACACTGGCCCTTTTAAGTAAAAAATTAACTCAAACTACCTAAATCCTCAAGATAATGTTATGTTCTATTTATGTTCTACTTCTTGGATTCTGTTATTTATGTAATGGTTTTTTCTCTCACTAAGCTTGCCAGAGTTTGTGGTAGAGATTATCTTGATGTCTGTTTATCTGTTGTAAGCAGACTGAGTATAATCTGGGTTTTGTGAAAGTCAAACTCAAGAACAAGTGCAAACGCGTCACAGAGCACTGAAGAAAAGCCAGAGGAAAATTTAAGTGGGACTGGAAGGATTTATTGCTTATATTGAAAAGTCCATATCAAACAACCACTACAATAATACCCAACTTTTATATCAAGGCAAACATAATAATAATAAATGGTATATGGTAAATGGCATGCACTTGTATAGCGCTTTATCAAGACAGAGGAATCCAAAGTGCATTACACTGCATTCAGTAAACCACCCATTCATCCATATGTTCAAACACTAACAGGGGTAGGCTACACTGTAGCCACCGCTGCATTTGGGCAGACTGAGAGAAGTGGAACTGCCATTCAATCGGCGCCACTGAGCTCTCTGACCACCATCAACATGCAAGGCGGGGGAAGACTCTTACCCAAGGACACAACAACTGAGACAGACAGAGCGGGGGTTTTGAACACCCATTACAGGACAAACCCCTATCACCTGAGCGAGCCACAGATATTAATAAAAATCGGGTGCCTTCATTGTATTTGCATAAAGCCTTATTTTCTGCATTGAGTACTTCTATTTTCCCAAACATATTTACCCACTTCTGTCATGTTATGGTAGAGGAAGGACCCAAATGCAGAGCGTAGTGGTGTAATGAAAAGATTTAATTACTAAAGAAACCTATATGGGGACACAGAACACAGGCAGGTTAACAGACATGGAGCAAGGTAGTAAAACGGAGGTACCAGAGGTGAGCAATGAAATTAAGAGGGTATAAATACAGAGGCAGGGTGGTGAATAGACCATTGAACAAGGGGAGTTACAGTGGCTTGTAAAAGTATTCATAGCCCTTGAACCTTTCCACATGTTGTCACATTACAACCACAAACAAATATATTTTATTGGAATTTCATGTGAAAGACCAACACAAAGTGATATACCATTGTGAAGTGGAAAAAAAATTATACATGATTTAAAAATTTTTTTACAATTAAAAAACTGAAAAGTGCGGTGTGTATTCAACCCCCTTTACTCTGAGTGAAACCAGTTGCCTTCAGAAGTTGCCTGATGATTGTTAATGACTAAATAGAGTCCACCTGTGCGTAATCTAATCTCAGTACAAATACAGCTGTTCTGTGACAGGTTCAGAGGTTGGTTAAGAGAATATTGGGGAGCAAACACCATCATGAAATCCAAGGAACACACCAGGTCAGGGATAAAGTTGTGGAGAAGTTTAAAGCAGGCTTAGGCTATAAAATATTTCCCAAGCATTGAACATCTCACTGAGCTCTGTTCAATCCATCATCTGGAAATGGAAAGAGTATGACACAACAGGAAACCTACCAAGACAAAGCCATCCACCTAAACTTACAGGCCGAACAAGGAGAGCACTGATCAGAGATGCAGCTAAGAGGCCCATGGTGACTCTGGAAACTGCAGAGATCCACAGCTCAGGTGGGGGAATCTGTCCACAGGACAACTATTAGTTGTGCACTGCACAAATGTGGTCTTTATGGAAGAGATGCAAGAAGAAAGCCACTGTTAAAAGTTAAACCACAAGGAGTCCCTTTTGCAGTTTGCCAGAAGCCATGTTTGGAACACAGCAAACATGTGGAAGAACGTGCTTTGGTCAGACGAGATCAAAGTTGAACTTTTTGGCCAAAATTCAAAATGCTATGTGTGTCGGAGAACTAACAATGCACATAACTCTGAACACACCATCCCCACTGTCAAATATGTTGGTGGCAGCATCATGCTCTGGGGGTGCTTCTCTTCAGCAGGGACAGGGAAGACCACGCCGGGTGCCATTCCTGTCAGCTGAGAACAGGAAACTGAAGCTACAATTCACACAGGCTCCCCAAAATTGGACAATAGAACATTGGAAAAACGTTGCCTGGTCTGATGAGTCTCGATTTCTGCTGCAACATTCGGATGGTAGGGTCAGACGACATGAAAGCATGGATCCTTCCTGCCTTGTATCAACGGTTCAGGCTCTATTGTTGCTGACCATGTCCATCCCTTTATGACCACAGTGTACCCATCTTCTGATGGTTACTTCCATGCGCCATGTCATAAAGCACGAATCATCTCAGACTGGTTCCTTGAAGATGACAATGAGTTCACTACTCAAATGGCCTCCACAGTCACCAGATCTCAATCCAATAGAACACCTTTGGGATGTGGTGGAACGGAAGATTTGCATCATGGAGGTGCAGCCGACAAATCTGCAGCATCTGTCTGATGCTATCATGTCAATATGGACCAAACTCTCTGAGGAATACCTTAAGCAAGGTACCTTACCAATATCATGTTGAATCTATGCCACAAAGGATTAAGGCAGTTCTGAAGGCAAAAGGGCGTCCAACCCGGTACTAGCAAGGTGTACCTAATAAAGTGGCCAGTGAGTGTATATGTGCATTTGCTGCAGCCTTCCACTGTGCTATCCATTTTGACCTTCTGTAACCTGAGATCCAATCAGATTAGTGCAAATACCAGAGGGCCAGTCTAAATGTGTGAGCTGCAGCTCACCATGTACTTCAGTGCCAGATGTTCACTGTGGCATCCATCTGATTGTGCTTAAACTCTCCCACTGTTTACTTTTCAGCTGGTCTGTATCTTTTTCTACAGTTACAGTATATCCGTCAGTTAAAATACTTCATTTGAATACACAGTCCTCTATTTTAGGGTTTTATGCAACAAGACACACACAAATAATCATTTTGGTTTACAACTGATTAAACCTCCTAGGAATAATAACACATTAAATATTAAACCAAGTTATTTTTTATAAAAACGCAACTGTAATGGCAGAGGCAAGATGTAAAAACCTGATCCACCTCATGATTCAGGTGTTTATTGAAGCGGTAACACGAAACTTGTTTTTTGAATGACTTTACCAGTTTCTTGCATAATCATGGAAGAATTTTGGGCTCAGTCTTCTTTAGATAATTTATTCAGTTCAACGTGGTTTCCAGATATTAATCATGCACAGGTATCTTCAGGCCCCCCATCAGCATTCTCTTGAATTTGACTGGACCATTGCAGTACCTTAAATCTTGTCTTTGTGAGCCATTCAGTTGCAGATTGACTATACCTTGCTGCCTTGTGGGGAGAAGCTTAATCTGAAACACAAAGCCATGCTAATTAGGGGTAGAGTCTGAGGCAGAACTATTGTCCTTTTTGTACAGTTTTTGTACAGTTTAGCCAAAAATTATTCACACCCATGTCAGATTTAGGTTTAAAGTGATGTTTCTCCTGTGCGGAAATATCATTCATATTTTGCAGTGGAACAGCTAGTCTCCCTAGAGATTAAGATGATGGCAAAGAGACCTTCCAATCTCAAAGACATGGAGCTCAACACCAAAGCAAAAAAACGGTAATCAGTTTATTTCAGTTCAGTTTAATTATTCACAACACATGTCGTCTATAGGCACTTGAGCTCAAACAATGCAGTCAAGTTGAGTGTTATAGAACCTTTAAGTTTGTATATAACTAATTCTAAGAACTGGTTAGGTCTGTTTTGATTGCGAATACAAATATATCATTTAATATTAATACTTTAATATTTTGGTGTGCACAGTTGGTAGCACTGTTGCCTTGCATCAAGAAGGTCCTGGGTTCGACTCCCAGCCGGGAGTCTTTCTGCTGGAGTTTGCATGTTCTCCCCGTGCATGCTGCGGCTTCTTCCCACAGTCCAAAGACATGTCTGTTAGGTTAATTGGTCTCTCTAAATTGCCCTTAGGTGTATGAATGAGCGTGTGCTTGATTGTTTGTGTGCTGCCCTGCGATGGACTGGCGACCTGTCCAGGGTGTACCCCGTCTTCGGCCCATAGACTGCTGAAGGTAGGCACCAGCTTTACAGCGACCCACTATGGAAGAAGCGGTATAGAAAATGACTGACTGACTTTAATATTTTATTAAATAATATTTCAGTCTGTTAAGGTTTGTCCTGTGAATACCAGCCCAATAAGGCAGTGGTATTAGGACAAAATTGAAAGGGATGAGCCAAGCTCTGGCATTACTGAACAGCAAAACTCTGTACTCACAGAATGATTTCACACAATTTCTTAAAATACAAGAATTTATTAACAAAATAAGTTAACTCAAAGTCAAACATATTTCTTTCAACAAGCTCTTTACTATGCTAAAACAACCCAACTAAACTACCAAGCAGAATGAAAAAATATGGAAGAATAATGGGCTATGTACAATATAAATAAGTTGATCAAAAAGAGTGACCAAAAGAGTGATGCAACATTACCATGCAAAGTTTATGTTTGAGAACCAAGGATTATCTTGAAGAATCTGGAAATTAAGTTAAGTTAGTCTTGGAACCAATTTAGGCAATAATCAGCATACCTTTAGACAACCATTCACAATGCAAGATCAGATAAAATATTATTTTAATAAAATAATGTTTTAAAGAATGATTTTCTGAATGAAATCACCTTCTGGATGACCAATTCTCAAAGGTGTTTAATTAGCTGCCTTTATTTATTCAAATAATATTTAAAAAAATATTAAGGAACTAGTAAAATAATATTTAGGAAATATTATCTGGAATAAGAAGCAAATCTTTCTGGATAAATGGGTCTCTATGGTGTTTCCTTGGTTATATAACTTTAGTAAAATAATATTTAGGGAAATATTATTTCCTAGATATAAACTAACAACCTTTTTGGGTAAATGATCTTTAGCTAACTAAAAGTAGGCAAGCACTAGTTCTTACTTGTTAGCGGTTGGGGCTAACAAAAGAAACTTGTAATTTATCATCAGAATCAAACACATACTGTTAAAATACTACTAATAAAAGGGTTAAAATGCATAAGCGTGGACGGCGCGTCATGGCTGATTTTCTGTGTTTAAAAATCACCCGTTACATAAAGTTTGTTTTAACTTTAAAACACAAACAGAACACATAAACTGAGCACGTGTGCTGAACAGATAATCTGCTAGCACTAAGATGGCTGAAATCTCAACACAAACAAACCAAACCTCATAAAACGAACATTGTTTAGACTATTTCATTCTAAACTAAATTTCTTCGCCCAAACATTACATCCTATGTAAACCGTGCTGAGCAGAAGGTTTCCGGGGCGACGAAGTTGAGGAAAATCATCCACAGTGAACAAAGGGTTAACTTGCAGCTGACCTCCGTAGCTGTGGTGTGGGGCAGCCCGTTCTGCTGGTCCGGCTGAACTGCATGTTACTGCTGTAGCCACGGTGATGCGGTCCCATTGTCCCTCCTTGAGACTGGGAAAAACTGCTCCACTCAGCGTTGTAGAGACAGGGTCTCTTCTGGGAACTCTCTGGAACACAGTTCGGTTCTGTAGGCCTCAGAAACAAAAGTCAAGCCACACTTTGCACCTTAATTACCTCGTTCATGAATGAGACACATAGACACATAGACAGCAATTCATTCCTACTTAACTTAGTCCATGTAATCGCCTGATCGTATGACACTCTTGGATCCAGTTTGAAAAGTTATGTCTCTTTGCCAGCAAAGAGACATTAGCATGCTGTGTCCCTCCGTCCAGTTCCGCTGGGGACCTGCGTGGAAGAGGTCTGTTTGTTGGTGCGCAGATTTTTTATTCAAACAGTGACGTCAAGGGAAGTCCGCTGTTATTCCCTTCTTGTTCCTTGCTGTGCTGGAAGTAGGTTAATGGGATTTATTTTGAAAGTTCCAGAAAAGTTCTTACTGGCCTTTAATGTTGTAACCCATGGCTGTGGTTCCAAGAGGTCTTAAAATGATAATACCTGACAGAGGATGCCTGTCCTTTCTACCATGACTGCATGCTAGTATACAGCACAGTACAAACAACATTTAACTTAGAAAGTTTAAACCTCTGGTTTTTTTTTACCTTTTAAAATGCAGAAAAGGGATGTTGTGATGGTGCTTTTCTCCTTAACATTTCTTGCGAGTTCTTCCCTTGTCCTGTTGGCTGTTCAGCAGGTGACACTTCCACATATTAGCAGAGCTCCACCCCACCATACTTAGGAATTGCTTTACAGAAAGTACCCTGAGATGAAGACTGTTGGGACCCACAGCCATGGATTTCAACATTAAACTCCGGTACGGACCTTTCTGGAACTTTCAAAATAAAGTGCATTAACCTTCTGCTGGCACAGCCAGGAAACGGGATAACTGCGGACTTCCTGTGACGCCATTACCCAAATAAAAGCACAGCTGTTGCTACATCTGCCCTCTTCCACACCGGTGACCATCGGGATAGGAGGGGAACAAAGCGCGCTGATGTTTCTTTGCTGGCAAAAAGACATAAACTCTTCAAACTGGATCCAAGAGTGTCATAAGATCACGCGATCATATACACAAGATAACCCCCGCAGAAGCAAAACTGTGTCGCAGAGACATCCCCAGTAGAGAAGCTGTTTCTACAAGCCAAGTCGGAAGGAAGGACAACGGCCTGCACCACCGTGTTTACGGTAACGAAGAGCTGGTTGAAGGACAGAACAAGCCGTCTTTCAAGCCAAAGCTCCGGAGGTCAGGTTAGCGGGAAGCTAACCCTTTTGTTCACAGAACGAACACACCTTCTGATCGTGAGAAGCTGAGGAGGTTAGCGGGAAGCTAACCCTTTGTTCACTGTGGATACCTTCTTCAAACTTCATCGCCACTTGGACAACATTTCCTCACCATGGTCAGAGGTTAGGTTTGGGCAGATTAACAGTTAGGATGAAATAACGTTAACGTTTTCATTTATGAAATTTGTTTTTGTGAAACTCAGCTATCTTAGTGCTAGCAGGCTATCTGCAGCACACGTGCCCAGTTTGTGTTCTTTGTATGTTTTTAAAGTTAAGACAAACTTTATTTACAGGGTGATTTTTAAACAGAACATTGATCATAACGCGCCGTCCGTGCTTATGCATTTTAACCCTTATATTAACTGAGGCATTTTAAAGGTATGTGTTTGTTTTTCGTGCTAAGCTATTAGCTTCTTTTGTTAGCTCAAATGCTAACCGGTAAGAACACGTGCTTGCTACTAAAGAGTATTCAACAGAAAGGTTGTTAGTTTTCAAGCTAGTGAATAATAGTCCCTGAACATCATTTACTAGATTTGATAACTAAGTAAACACCATTAAGCCCCATTTCTCCAGAAAGAT